CGTCTTCAATCGACCCATCGTTAACTCTCGTTATCAAATCCGCACACCTTTCGCTAGTTTTGGATAAAACATATATATTAACTTAAGTACAATAAACTGTGAATACATTAACTGAACAATCATCGCCTTTTTAATAATATCGCAATACAACGCTACTGAAGAAGCTCAGTAGCTCAACATTTGGTGACCCCGACGTGATAGAAACATAAACTTGTTAAATTTTATCACAAAAAACATAACATTTTCGTTGGATAAATTGGCTTTGAACCACGGTTTTTTCGGTTTGTCGTATGTGCACAAGCAACAGAAACGGTTCTCGCGTCATCTGCTTTGCGGTCTGCTTGCTTGCTGCTGTTTCGTTTCGGTTTGTGGTCGCTTCGTTCAACGAGCACCATAATGCCCTGGAGAGGATTGATCTCGATGAGATTGGCAGTCCCTTGAGGGAGGAGTTTGACGAATGCGTGGTCATGCTGGAAATTCGTATGAAGCGCGAGTTGAACAAGCGGCAGCCCACAATGCTCCCATGCTCAACAATGCGGACGGATCATGTTGGAGAGGCCCCAGCTACAGTCATAGTGCAGAGTCGGCCTCGCCTGCCGGAATTAAAGCTTCCCGAATTCAGCGGGGGCTACGCGAAATATGCTGCGTTTTGGGGCATGTTTGCCTCCATAATTGACAAGGATTCTGACCTAACGAATGTGGAGAAGCTGCAGCACCTACGATCCTGCCTGAAAGGACCTGCTCTAGACACAATCTCTTCGCTAGAATTCAGCCACGCCAGCTATCCCATCGCCCTAGACCTTCTTAATAAACGATTCAATAACAAGCGTTTAATATTTCAGGCACATGTCACCGACATTTTGGGTGTGCAGCGTATTGAGACCTCGTCTGTGTCCCAGCTCCGGTCATTGTCAGATACTGTAAATGCCAATCTGCGGGCCTTGCAGAGTATGGGGACAAAGGACCAGATAGCTGACTGCATTCTGATACATATCCTGCTACAGAAAGTGGACAGCGCCACACAAGCCAAGTGGGAGGAATGCTCGTCAATGGATAGCATACCCACAAGCCAGCAATTTACCGCTTTTCTGGAGCAGAGATGCCAGAGGTTGGAGACTCAGGAGCACGCTAAGGAAATGTACACTAATAGCAATCGGAAACACTGCCTAGTTGCAACTACCTTCAAGCCGATTGCCTGCGCGCTCTGCGGCGACACCGGACATTCGATATATCGATGTTCTCAATTCAGCAACCTTTCTCCTCGACTTCGGCTCCAGGAAGCTAATAAGCTATCCCTATGCACCAACTGCCTCCGATCAGGCCATCAGCAAGGTGAATGTCGGTCACGATCCTGCCGAGTATGTGGTGCTAAGCATAACACACTACTTCATTCCGAGTCTTCGTCCTACACTTCTCAAGCCATTCTGCCTCAACTCGTCAAATCAACATCGACTCTACGAATTCCCGCGATACCCTCTGTCGCTGAACATGCCGTAACATCGTCAGCCACGTCGCTCTTGGCCCAGAGTCATCGACGGGACGCTGTGATTTTGCCCACTGCCATAATCAGCGTAAGGAGTCGCTCCGGGATGTTGATTCCTTGCCGTGCCCTGCTCGATTCTGGATCGCAGGTGCATTTCGTCACTTCTCGTCTGGCTCAACAGTTGCAGCTACAGAAGAAAGAGTCGGAAGTTTCCGTTTCTGGTCTAGGCGATTCGTGTGCCATATCCGAAGGATGCTGCGTCGATATCCAACTGGAATCATACGCGTCCAACTATGCCGCGACCATTACGGCACTTATTGCTCCAACCATTACGGGTAACCAACCCAACGGTATCCACGACATTAATCGCTGGAACATGCCCTCCAACATACCTCTGGCGGATCAGAAGTTTCACCAGCCCCAGCCAGTTGATATTCTGATTGGAGCGGCTCTGTTCTTCGAGCTTCTATGCCCTGGCAATATCAAGTTGGGAACTGGACTGCCACGTCTTCAGGAGACCAAACTGGGATGGATAGTTGCAGGAGAGGTTTCTCCGTCTCTCAAGGCAGCTCCACTTTTTGCTTCTCTATTTTCAGGTAGCTCATCTGAAGTGGCCCCTCGCTCGACCCAGCATAGGGTCAGAAATAAAGTCCGGAGTAGCGGTACTGAAGACGGTGCTGAAGACAACAACAGTGCTGCAAAATAAGGACGTTAAAGATCCGCGCTCTTCAACGGGGGGAGTATGTTCGGCTAAGCGCCGGCCCATGGCAGCACAATGAGCAAAGAGACCATATGTAACATCTCTTAAAAGTAACGTCTCTCTTTATTACTGTTTTGTTTGCTTTGCTTATGCTCTGTCTGGTGCTTTGCTCTCTGTCGGCGTTCGACAGCCGCTGTGGTGGAGGCTCGTCAGAGAAAGCAGAAGACACTTCAGATTCGATCATCTCCGTAGTTAAACGTTTTGCTGTTTGGCACAGTGACCTGCCTGCCACATAGTTCTAAACTAAACCTTACATAAATCTAACAACTTCAACAGTCTTGAACCGGCCCCCGCGTCTTCAATCGACCCATCGTTAACTCTCGTTATCAAATCCGCACACCTTTCGCTAGTTTTGGATAAAACATATATATTAACTTAAGTACAATAAACTGTGAATACATTAACTGAACAATCATCGCCTTTTTAATAATATCGCAATACAACGCTACTGAAGAAGCTCAGTAGCTCAACAGGTACGTCTTCACGTTCCACACAGCACATCTATGAGGAACGGTGGGAATTTTTGACAGATGTGAAACTCCGATTCCCACTGGCACCATCCACCATCCATGAAAAATAGCTGATGCACAAAATTTGGTGCGACGGAAAATTACTTTTATAATTTAAATGTATATTAATAATATTGAAATGGTTGTGATTGTGATTCAGCACCAAAATATATTCTTGCACAATCTAATATTTTGGGTGAAAGATGTACCTAACAAGTAATTGTATCGTAATTGTAATTGTATTTTGTATCGACTTTGAGGTCTTTTTTAAGTACAGAACAGTCGAAAGGCTGTCAGTCAATAGCGTGTGCAATATCCTGCATGAGTTTTGCAGAGCATTCATAAAAGAATTCCCAGAGGATAGTCCACAAACAGAGCTTTTGTGCCTGATATAATTCTGACATATCAGATGTTTCGTCGTTTTTTTTTTCTGCGAAATATGAACGGCAAAATCTTACGGACCATTCCCGAAATGGATGATGGATGGTCGCCTGTGGGAATAGGCTATTAAATTAATAAGGACATTCCGATTACTCTGTTCACGACGTATACGTCGTCCAATGTTTGATCGTCTAATAGGAGGCATAGTATAACTCAATTGATGAATCAAATCTCGAATTTAGAACTAATACATCCAGAATTTTTTTAATTTGGACTGAAAATTTGTTGTTTTGTAATGAATCTAATTAAAGACTTGGTGGTTGAATAATTGCAATAATTAATTGTGCTGATTAAGTAGTTCGTCCAACTCTCTAAATATGCGCCTGGTTATCGACAAGTTAAGGCTATTTCAAAGACAATATAAGTATAAGATGCGTAACGCTCATACATTTCAATTGCCATATGTAAGCCAATTTTTCGTCATGCGACGAAATTCGCGACATCTCGCTCGCACAAATTTCAGAGCGTACGAATCTAAAAATAGAATCCGCTTGCATGTGTGAGTACACACAGAACCAGCAAGTGCGTAGGGGTGCGTACTTGTGCGAAGCGGACGATATTCGAGACGAAACCCTTTTTATGAGTTGAGAAACGAATTTATTTACCGTCGTTGAATACGTCGCACGCTGAATACCCTAATGATAATTACTCCAATGTGAAGGCATGCATTAAATATATTATGTATTTTTATATAAGTATATCCGATCATTATTATCGAATATACATACCATGTTAAAAGAAATTATCATTGGAGGGATATACAATATAAGAGTTTTTTAATAGTGGCGTCTTGCAAAATTAACTTGCACTTATTAAGTGTATATTTCGACAGCGCTACTAAAAAATTTCAAGAGAGCCTGGAGCCAGCTCTAAAGCCAGCCTGCAAAATTCGTGTGCAAAAATTTCGTATGGCGCTATGTATCTTATTCTTATATTGTCTTTGGCTATGGTAACCGCAACAGATGTACGTTGCGGTTTACGCGATTGGAATTGTATTATAGATCATTCTCCGCTGTATTGTTGACTGTTTCTGTTGCTCCGAACAATGTCATTTAGATGCATGAATTTTCGAATGGTCCTCAGGAAGATGTTTGAATCTGAATCCGTGTCGATGAGCAAGTTATTCAATGGTTCCGGTGGAGTCTCAATTTGTAGTAGTTGCACTTTTCTTTATGCTTTCATCATACAATTTGACTCATGTTTATATTTGAGCGCGTGACAATAGGTACATTCTTTGTCCATAGCACAAATCAACACATTTTGATGTGCGGAATATTCAATATCTGGCTAGTTTGCGAATGCGAAACGAAGGAACGAAGCGGATGTAAATGCTCTATGTACTTGTTGGCGTTTTCCGTAATTTTCTCTAATATTGTCAATTATGTAGCGGCGCCCACCTCTCCGTTCCAATTGTCTTTGTACATTTCGTACCTCTACTGATAAATATTCATGCAATTATTTTCTTCGAAGTCGCACTATGTACTATGTCGCATTAATGTTACATTATTTTTTCGACGGTGCAAATGTGCCCCCTTGCGTCTTGCTGGCATTGTTCACTCTAACACACAAATGAACCGAATTCACAAAAAAACAGACAAATATTAGATCGAGATTAAGTCGCAAAACACACTGACAACTGACAACAAAAACAGAAAATATCAGATTATGTAAAAAAAAAACACACTGACAGCTAAATCAAAGCACTACTTGATTAAAAAAAACTAAAATCGCGATTATGAGTAAATAAGTGGTATTCAAAATATCAAAAATACCATGCGACGTATGCGTAGACCTACTTAATATACGACAAAAATTTCATAAAAATCGGTCGAGCCGTTTGGGACGAGTTTAATCTCAAGCACCATGACACGAAATTTGTATACATATAATTTTCTTTATACATTTCTTAGGGTTGTTAAAAACACGTACTTCATGTACGACGTTTGTTGAAGATTCTTACATTCTAAATTATAAACATAATCTTAAATATACATGTTACATAGTACAAACTTGTCAGTCTGCATACACTACAAAGGGAACATTGTTTTCTGAAACATTATCTCGCAATTCTACTTTAATATAATTTGTTTCATCACTAGGACTATTTGAATCGTTGTTCGAACAAGTACTGTGGCGCATAGTACTTGTGTTCCTCCTAAAATATAAGAATTTCGTTAGATGTATATTTTCCACTGACATTTATATTTAAATTTAAAAAGGCACTTACTTCGCTTTTGCGTGAGTCAATATGTGTGATTTTAAATTTGTGGACTGAGCAAATTTTTTATTGCAGGAATCAAAGGGGCAAACAAATGGCCTGTCTCCGGTGTGTATTCTTACGTGTGTCCTAAAAAATTTTTAAATGTTTTTATTACATTACTATTATTTTAAAAAATCTTTTTGGTATTAATAACCTTAAGTTAAAATCGAGTGAAAAACGTTTCCCACATCCTTCGAAGGTACACTGAAATGGTTTTTCTCCGGTGTGAACGAGCTGGTGTCTTTTTAGTTTAGAACTTTCTACGAAAGCTTTTCCGCACTCTGCACAAACATGCACACGAGGACCATGCGTATGTAAATGTTTGCGCATTGCAGACGAGTCTCTGAAATTTTTATGACATCCTTTATGGGGGCATGCTATTTTTTTATCGTTTGGATAAGCCACTAAGTCCACATCATTGGTTGTAACTGAAGCTCCTAAAAAAATAATTCATAATTTTCATGTTGGAATATTGGCGTATATTGGTCTTTACCCAGGTTTTCATTGTATGCTAGTTGGGGCGGAGTTGACGAGCTATCTGATTGTAAGCTTCCTTGGAGAACAAGACTAAATGGCAGTGTTCCTGCTGTCTGTGAGTCACAGTCATTATCATTATCTAATAATCTCTGATTTTCAATTGTAATAGCTTCAGACCGATTTATAGCCTGTACATTTGTAATGGAATTAGTTAGTAAAGATTGAGTTTCACAACTGGACATTGATTTTGTGAGGTTTTTGTTGGAAGAATTCTTTGTTTGCGCAAGAAGCTTTTTCTCCTTTGGTAACTGTCCCGTTAACGGAACGACGTTTAATTGTTGCTGCATTTGCAATTCTTGATGAAACAAAATCTGTTGCCGCAACAGGGTTTCCTCCTGTCCAAATTCTGATTCTGTTTCATGGCTTTGTGAAATGACCATTGCGCCATCTGATGTGCTATGTGTTTCTTTCAAAAATTCTGTTTCGCCAATATTTTGCTCCGACCCAGAGTATTCGTCGTCGGATGTTCCAGATGCCCACATAGTTACACTGAATTCCCCTTCCATAGTTTTAATTTGAACCAGTTTTTGTTCCCAGCGTCTCGACTTTCCAGATGATGTTATCCCAATTGTATCGGAAGTTTCAGTAATGCGGTCTCCAATACCAGACTCTTTTATTTCTCTTACATTGTCTTGAAGGCAATTCACCAACGCCTTTGAAATTTCGTGCTGTTCGGAGCAATCGATGTTCTTAAAACTGTTCGCCATTTCAAAGTTTGTCAAATAGTTCTTGGCATTCTTCTTTCTACGAATAAATAAAAAAAAAACCTGTTAGAAACAATTTACGCAAGAGAACACACATTTTTATATATTGTATGTATGTACATATATACATTTGTAAATTTTGTACTGTTGGAATGATTTGGCTTACATTTTAGATGGGCAAACGTTCTCCGATGCTTTCAGTAATTGTTTTCCATGCATATTTGCATTCATTATGTTTTCAGTATATTGAGTTTCGGACTGAAGGAACGAATCAAACATTTTATTTCTTTGTGAATTTATTTGACCGCTGCTGGAAATGCCGTCCGGAATAAAAATGGCTTGAAAAAAAAAAAAAAACATATATGTATATACATGTGAATTGTGCATATGTAAGTACAAATTAGAAGAAAAAACCGTGTACAACTCACCATTGTTAATATTAATTTTTTGAATATCATCCGGCTTTGTTATGTCTTCATCATATTGCTCATTTTGGACTAGTATTCCATAACGTTCGTATGCCATGTCAACGAAGTTTGTATCCATTATACCCTTTTTGTACTTCACAGGACGTACCAAATCATTTCTCACATGTACCAAAGTAGGAATATGTATGTGTTAGGTAATTATGTATCTTATTGAATTTCCTGAGTTTAATTCCCTGAGCTAATTTCCGAAATGTAGCTATGTAAGGATCCGGATCTGAAAAGTGTCCTGATAAATTTAAAGCTTTCGTGGCCAACCCAAGTGCTTAAATATAAAATCTAAATAACGTAAGGGCTTTAGAGTGTTTGTGTACATACATATGTATGTACGTTCCAACAAGGCATGTGTAAACAACACAACTATATCGACAAAGAATTAGCTTACACGGATGTTTTTAATGAAGTTATCGATTAAAAAAAAGGAAATGTTTGGCCTCAGTTTAGTACTTTACCAAATTAGACGCAAAATAGTAATAAGTAAAACAGTCTTAATAGGACAATGAAATTAAGAAAAAATAAACAAGGCCACACCAATTTAAATACACTTTTTTATTTTGGGTGCACACATACTTAACACTTAAATATATGTAACCATTTTTGTGTGAATAGTCTGCTTTCTTATGCACTTAACAATTTTAGTTTCAAAATATGTTTCCTTTAATTTATTTGTGGACAAAAATACTGAAAACTAAAAGCCATGTACATATAACCGATAGCAGGCGACCACTTTCCAAAATGTAACTTTACAATTCTAGAGATGAACTTCTGTTCATAGATGTTAAGAAATCACATTTTTTACGCAAAGTGTATATATAAAAAACCATTTCATCAATATTACAATTAATTCAACAACAAAATTAAAAAAATGTCACGTTACTTGCTCATAAGCCAATAAAATTACCTTATCCAAAAATTAATGTATGTAAACAAAAAAATATTCAGGGTACTCATGTAACAATTTAAAAACTAATATATAGGTGAAAATCTGTTCCATATAAAAATTTTAACATTTTAAACCTGGCAAATCCGATGATCCTATTGGGCCTTGAGGTGGCTCAGAGGGGGCCCAGCTGAGGCCGCCGGACGGGTCGCAGGTTGCGGTCAGGCTGGCTGGGGGCCCGGTACAAAAACTAGCCCAGTCGTGAACGGAGAGCTCAGGGACTTGGCAGCTCCCTGTTCTAATTATGCCTTACCCGGGTAAAGTGGAGCTCTGCCGGGGTGGACCGTTCCCCTTCTCTGCAGCTTGTGGGAATCATATGGATAAATACGTAAATACTAATAAACACGAAAACAAAAAAGAGAAAGGCACTCCCCAAACGCCGGCTGGGAGAAATCCCAAGCGGGAGAAGGCAGCGGCCCAAAGGCCTGGCCCGATCCGCTCAGATGCAGGAAAGACCTGCACGGTGGAACCGGGTATGAACCCGGTTGGGTCCCATCCCAAATCTGGGATGGGTGGAAAGCCAACACCCAAAACTGATACCATGGAAGGGCAGCTAAGCAATATTGCGGCTGCCCAACCTTCCGGTGAAACTGCGGGTGATGGCTTGCCATCAACCAGTGTCCAAGCCAAAAAATTTAGTTATGCCGAAAAGAGGAGTGCTGGGCACATACTCGGTCGGCAGAACGCCAGCACAGAAGTCAGGTCAACAGCAGACTGTCTGAAAAAGGTGGAATGGGCCTAGGCGGTGCTGCCCAACTTCAGTGTGGAGCCACAGAAGGTGGCTGCACAACCGAAAAGGCAGCGCTCGCAAGATACGCCCGGACCTGCCGCGAAGCGCTCCAGAGTGCTACCAAACGTATCCTTCGCGCAGATTGCCAAGGAGAGGACTCTGATAGGCGTTCTCGACAACGGCAAATACCCAGAAGCCAATGGAAGTGGGTGGAAGCGGCACTGGCCGACCGCTGCTTCGAGCTTCTCGAGAAGGATCCCGGGCCACCCCCAGTCTGCAAAGACATGGAATGGTTCCAGGGGAGCATCAAGGTGGTAGCCTGCGAGGATGAGCGCTCCGTAAAGCTATACAAAGCTGAGGTGGCGCAAATCGGAGAAGTCTACGCTGGGGCGAAGCTCGTCGCTGTTGACTGAAGCGAGGTGCCCAGCAGACCAAGGGCTCGTATATGGGTGCCGGCCACTTTTAAGGAGCCCGAACGGATCCTCAGGATGTTGAAGAGATGCAACCCAGCACTGCCAACCTCAGACTGGAAGGTGGTCAAAGTTGAGGCATCAAAAGGCCCCACTAACCAGGCAGTGATAATCCTAAATAAGGAGTCATTAGCCCCGATCGAAGCAGCCAAGGGAGAGCTCAACTTCGGGTTCAGCTCGGTGACCATCAAGGTCTACAAGTCGGATGCAGCGGCCGAGGCGCGTCCTGTCAACAACCCAGTTGAGCAGGACGTTGCCTCGGAGATCGAGGCACCCGACGTAGACCCGGAGCCCGCTCTGGAGAGCTACTCCTCGGAGACGGAGCTGATGCTCGATTTTGAGGCGTTGTGTCGTGACGAAATTCTCGACGACTCTGACGCCGACATAACAGTGGTGGAGAACAACTCTAATGAAGTCTCTGAGGCTTCTGCAGATAAATCTCCACCACTGTAAAGCAGCATGAAGCGGATGCTGCCCTAATACTCCGCTTAGAAGCGGGCGGAGGGGATATAGTCCCAATCCAAGAGCCTTGGGTGGTAGGAGGCAAGGTCTGTGGATTAGCGACGAAGGACTACAAGCTGATTGTAACCCAAACTGAAGGTATTCAGTTTGTATTCTAGCAAGAAAGCACCTAAATATCTTTCTGCTCCACAATTTTAGCAATGGCGACAACACGGCGGCTAGCCTAGAGCTACAGGGGACACGCCTGAACCTGGTGTCGTCCTAAATGGCTCACGAGGAAAGTGATCCTCCCAGTGACCTCGTTCGCAAGGTAGCCAGCGACAGCGAAAGGTCGGATACAGGCCTAATAATAGGCTGCGATGCCAACGCTCACCACATCCAATGGGGGAGCTCGAATACAAATGTAAGGGGTGAGTCACTTTTCAGCTTCATCCTAAACTCCAACCTAGTTATTGGTAATCGGCGTAACGACCCCACATTCATTATAAAAAAACCGTCAAGAGGTTATTGACCTCACTCTATTGTCTCACAAACTGTCAGACATAATAAAGAGTTGGAGAGTCCTAGGGGACCACTCCTTCTCCGACCACATGTATATCGAGACAGTCCTATCTCTCGAAAGCAATAAACCTACTAACTATATTAACCCCAGGAAAGCCAACTGGGATATTTATAGTGTATACTCCCCCCCCCCTAGCACCAAAATGTCCGGACACACATCTTAATCGTCTTGTAGACAGTTTCACGGAAGCTTGCAATAAGTCCTTCGTGGCAGCTTGCCCCTCAACCAAACCAAGAGTGAAAAAGAAACCTCCCTGGTGGTCTAAACAAAGAGGGTACCGGAAAGACTGCAGGACTCTCTTTAACAGAGCCAAAAGCAGCGAGGAAGCGAACTGGGATAATTACAAAAGTAAACTAACCCTATACAAAAAAGAAACTAGGAGAGCAAAAAGGGCCTCTTGGCCAAAATTTTACTCCGAAATTGAAGACACGTCAGAAGCCGCAAGGCTACGCAAGATCCTGTCAAAAACATCCCCCTCGGTGGGATATCTCAAGAGAATAGATGGTACGTGGGCAAACTCTAGTGAGGACTCCCTACAGTAGAATATCGATACTCATTTTCCTGGGTGCACGACCATCGAGCCGGCAGACACCCAAAGTGAAGGCCCGGAAACCTCGATGGTGCACATCCTCACAAAACGGAATATTAGCTGGGCAGTAAACAGCTTTAAATACTTCAAATCGCCTGGCCCGGACCAAGTCATTCCGGCTCAGTTACAAAAAGCCGGGGACATGGCCATCAACTGGCTGCAAAGTATCTTCAGGAAGATACTGACAGTGGGAAAAATCCCCCGCGCTTGGCTCAAGGCTAAAATAGTCACAACCCCAAAAGACTTCAGACCAATAAGTCTATCGTCCTTTCTTCTCAAAACCTTTGAGAGACTAGTCGGGCTGCAGCTGAGAACAACCATAAATCCGCAGTGGCTGTCAGGCCCACAACATGCCTACCGGAAAGGTAAATCTACGGAAACGGCACTCCATGAAGTAATCTCGGCGGTGGAGAAGTCCATAAACGTCAAAGAATACTCTCAATAGCCTTCCTCGACATCGAGGGAGCTTTTAACAACGTCATTTCGGGAGCCATCACGGAGGCCCTGACTGACCTGGGAGTGGATCATCACTTGGTGATGCTCATTGATCAATTGCTCACATGCAGGACGGTGACATCATCAATGGGATCGTCCACTCAGTCAAGGTATGTCAACAGAGGCACCCCGCAAGGTGGTGTCCTGCCTCCCCTTCTATGGAACATAGCAGTCAACAAGATTCTGTGTGACCTGGAAGGGGAGGGCTGCAAAGTGGTAGCATAAAATTCCCTCAAACACTTTGCGATCTAATGACCGCGAAGCTCGCGCGACTGTCAGAATGGACAGAGTCGCGTGGACTGGGAGTTAATCCCTCTAAAACGGAGCTTGTATTGTTTACAACCAAATACAAAATCCCGTCTCTCAACCCCCCAATACTAAACGGATGCAGGCTCTCCTTCAGCGACACTTACTTACTTACTTACTTAGGGTTGGTAATTGACAAAAAGCTTAGCTGGAACCTGAGCATAAAAGACAGAGTGAAGAAGGCTACTATAGCCCTCTACACTTGCAAGAAGGCCATTGGGCTAAAATGGGGCATGAACCCAAGAATAGTCCAATGGATATACCTAGCAATAGTAAGACCAATACTACTCTACGGAGTCGCAGGTGGTGGCCTGCCCTATCGAAAAGGACCATCACTAAACAACTGGGCAAGGTGCAGCGCACTGCAGTCTTATGCATCAGTGGAGCTCTAAGCACCACACCAACGGATGCGCTAAATGCTATCCTATGCCTGCAGAGCCTTGACCTTGCAGGTAAGGAGCAGGCAGAAATGGCAGCAATCCGTCTTAGACTCTGACCAATGGGTGTCACATCACACCGGTCATGCGTCCATCCTATATGGAAATAAAATCGTCCCCACGAAAAAGCAAAGTAGTAAGCAAAACATAAACTGTTGTCATTATCAACATTTTTATTTTCTATGGAATTTTTCGAACAAAAAATAATTTTCTTTAAATATCCTATGTCGTATGTCGCACAGTGGCTCGTTTTCCGAAAACTCGTTGCAAAAGTCGGATATTGCGTTGTTGAATTTGTCAAAACTTTTTTGCAGTTCAACTAGGAATTGATCTAGCTATTCAAAACCAAAATTTTATAACTTACATAATTTTTTTAAGATTTATAAGCGTTGTTCAAAGTTTTTGAAAAAAATGAAGAAAAGCGTGCTTAAAAGGCAAAGTTAAATGCATTTTAGTGTTATCGATCAGGACTTTATCTGAAGGCCTTAAATTGCGGCGAGAAAGCATTCGCTGGGTCCGCTAGTAGTTTTATAAAATTATACTAAAAAAGTAGTTGTCGGAATATTGCAAGTAACCGATAACTTGATTTCCTATGTATTGTGTATAGGACGTCTGCAATAGATCAATCTTAAAATAATGAAGCCATGACCATCACCTTGCAAATAATCGCAAAGTTCGAAATTTCTTTTACGATCAGGAGATTAACTGCTGATCCGATCGTATTCAGATCTAGTAGCTATAGTCATTCTCTACGATGCTACGCCTTATGGTTTTTCGTATATTCAAAATTTTGGAGCTCGAAACCCAATAAGTACATTCGAGACGGTACGATTTTTCGACAATTTTATTTCGAACTATGCATTGTAAGGCATGTTTGAGGTTAATTGACAATGCTTAAAATTAATCTACAACCGCATAGGATGTATCTACAATATTATTTAATTAAGCTGAAATTACTTCATCTTGCATTATCAAATCCGTTCCTGCATTTCTATTATGCGTAGGGTGTATTCATTTTTCCAGTCCAAAACGATTACCAATTTTTGAAAGATCTGTTGTACCTTTTACGGGAAAGATCAGTTTTTTTAGTTGAGTTGACATAGGAATATTGGTTTTTGTTGATATAAGATCTGCGAAAACAATACAACGGATTATTGTTTAATTACTGAAGTATTCATAAAACCTTAATCTCAATCTTAATCGTAAGTTAAATTAAAATATTCTTTTTATGTACATGTATCTTTTTTGTACATTGATATGTATGCATATAAATATAACGGTTATTTAAGTACCTGTTTCTACATGAAACTTCTTAGTCCGATGTGTACTTGGTTCATAGTCCTTATTTTTTTGACGGCTTGACCGAAAGTAATTTTGAAGTATATTTACATTATACGTTTCTTTGGTTATGTCTGAGTTTTCGAAGTCCTTCATAAACAAAAAATGATTAGTACATACAAAGCTATAAAATAATATATCAGTTTTGCATTTGAAAGCTTAATATTTCCCAGACCGTAAGCTGAAGATACAAAAGGTTCAAATCTACGTTAAAGCTGCATTTTTCAGTTTTAAAGAATAGAAAAGTTCATTACAACCTACCTACCTCTGCAAAAAGCATCAAAATAAACCATTTTTCAAAAATGAAAAAAGATAAATTTTTGAAAAAAATTAAAAACTCCCAATTCATAAGAAAAGTCGGTTTGGTTCGAAGTTCAAGTTCATAAGTGATACATTTGGTTTGCTAATGCTTGCTAACATTTTTTAAAATAATTTAAGTTTTCTGGCTGTCTTCTTTTTGTATTCGAACCAGATTCTCTTACGAGATTCCACACATAGTCGCCCATCATGTTCTCATTCCCAACACCTTGATAACGTTGTTCCATAGATTTAAATTGTTGATGAAATCTCTCTCCGTGTTCATCACTAACGTCGGCTAGGTTTGTCGGAAAAAAGTCCAAGTGGGAGTGCAGGAAATGGACTTTTAGTGTCATATTTGCCCCGATATTTTTATAATTCTTAATTAGCTCTTGGACGATATTAACATAATCATCAGACTTGCTGTTTCTAAGAAAGTTTGTTACTACCATTCGGAATGAGTTCCAAGCTGCTTTTTCATTCTTAGATAACATATTTGGAAATCCATCATCTTTTAGTAGTTTTTTTATTTGGGGACCATCAAATACTCTTTCTTTCACTTTTTCCAGCGATAGACGTGGAAAAACAGCTTTTAGGTAACGCATTGATTCGCCTTCCTTATCCAGTGCTTTAACAAAATTTTTCATTAGTCCCAGCTTAATGTGTAATGGTGGTAAAATAACGTCTTTAAACTTCACGAGAGCTGAATTCTGTATGTTGTAATTTTCCAAAGTATGTTCCTCCCGTTTTGGCCAGAGCTTTCTTGAGTAATGCTCTTCTCTAGAGCTACTATCCCATAGACACAGGAAGCAGCAGTATTTTGTGTAACCACCTTGCAATCCAGTTAACATGGCTACGACTTTTAAGTGGTGTTCTTTATATATAATATTTTCAAACAATTTAGCCATTGTTTGATATGTTTCCTTCATATTAACAGCATGTGCTGTTTTTTTCCACATCATTGGACTACAAAAAATGTACAAAAAAAATAATGTTTAGTATTTTGGGTAAAGTTAATAGTTTGTGGATTAGAGTTACTTACTTTTCGTCTTTTATATGCTGTTAAATTCAATCTACACATTTGACATATACAGCTTTGTGCCCACTCTTCAACAAAACTTTCGGGTTTGATTTTAAAGTTTCCTTCATACTGTTTTTGGAGAGTTTCGGTAAAAGCGATTTTTATTTCGTTGATCATCATGTACTTACCACATATGTATGTAGGAAAATGAGTCTGCTTGGAAAGCACATGAAAATGATCGGCCAGAGGTATCCATGACAATTGATTTTAATTAATTGTAAGATGTTTTGGTAAACACACCACACGATCGTATTCTGAGGTCAGAACTACACTAAGGCACAGACACTATAGGCACAGAGTTATATATCCATGACTATGATTAGGTAGACGCGACGAGATCTAATTTGTGTGGACCTGCACTTGTGAGAATATAAAGGAAACATTTGACCTGAATAGGTATCCTACCTCAGATAACGAAAAAAGTAACTGTCAACAACATTTCATACCAAAGAAACGCGATCAGGTACCAAATGTACAACCCTTTTTCGTTTGCTTTGTTCCCAATTGGCAATTGGGCCCATCATAATTTTTGCAGTCATTGCTTTATATTTCCCAGACGGTAAGCTGAAATCACAAAGTGTTTGGGCTTAACTTCTAGCTGTTTTAATTATCTTTTGAAACCACATCTTTTCTTTACAACCACACGTAAGATACTAGAGTTATGTGAAAAAAACAAGCGCTAACTCTGAAAAAAGCTTTAGAAAAAAAAAACCAGACTTCAAAAATTTTTCGAAAAAAAGTTCTGCCACAGAAAAAAAACTATAATTCTTAAAAAAATTTTAAAGCCCCATATCTATTAGAAAAAGTCGGTTTGGATCCTTGAGGCAAAAAAAGTTCGATTTTGTCGGGTAGTGTAATAGAAAACATGACTCAAAACAAAAAAAACATAACAAAAATACCGAAAAAGTGAACATTTGCTTATTTGAATAGGTTTTCACATCAAAGTTAATGAAATTATATGTCAATTGGGTAAACTAGTTGTCGTTCACTAAATTAAGACTATAATATCGGAACAAATTTATATAGAAATGTGTTTTTAGAGACACTCAGGCAGACTCCAGTTTTAACTTTTACATAAAAAATTTGGTTTACTTTTCAAACCGAAAAGTCAGGCGCATACGCATTCGTAAAACGCCAGACTTTTCCGTTTTCAAAGCGGCAACAAATTCCTCGCCGAAATGAAAAGTAAACGGCTTTTTATGCAACTAAACCAATCTTAATTGCAAAAGGAAACAAATAGATGATTTGACACCATTACCTATGCAATTGTGACCTTTTCACAATTTTTTTAAGCCAATCTCAAAACTTGAGCTGAAAAAATTGGTCAGGGCAGCAACAAATTCCTCCGAATTCCTCCGAATAGCTGTGGCAGCCCGATTTGGCTATCGATAAAGCTCTGTTAAACATAACAGAGGCATTTTTTATGAGCTGGCACTAACACGCGGGTATAACAGCAGTAAAATTTGCACCTAACAGTACACGGAGTAAACAAATTAACTTTTTTGGATGCCGAGAGCCTTGAAATGAAAAGTATGACTTTTTGCTGAAAAGTAAAACGCAAAGTGCATGTGAAAACCTGCGTGATTGAGTCTCGATGGACCTTTCAGAGAAATTCCCATATGTAAATGTACATAAAACTAGAGTTTGGTTTCAATATTTAAAAAAAGTGTAACAAGATCTTCATTTTTGATCAATATTTCCGGCGCTGCCGGAGTGCTTCACCTGAATGCATTGTTTCTTTGAAGGAAAAAGCAGCCAGAAAGATGCTAAGCTACAAAACGTGCAGTTATCTGTTTCTCCCCTGAAAAAGCGTGGACGGAAGGCAACACTAGCAAAACCATCCACTAAGCTCACTAAGGAAACTTTATCTATTACGATGATTATCTTCATTGTTCTTTATACCACTAGCCTCATAAAATAATTAAACTTCCAGTTTCTCGTTATTTGTGGTGTTTTCTTATCATATATTTTTAGTTTTAAGTGGATTTTTCAGGTGTGTCCACAACAGGGCCTATCTTTTTTTCTCGAAAACACGATACACCTCACTAAATTCTTGATAAAACTGTATGAATGAATCGGTTCAGTTCCTGATAGTAACTGATACTTACCTAATACCTCTACCTTTAAATTGGTACACATAAGCTATGAGGCAAGAACAAAACGGTGTTCTTCCGTACAAAGTTGTATTATGATTTAAGCCAGTGGTCGGCACACACACACACGCACAGGTTTGCAGTGCGTTTGTGTGCGTATAGAGCAGGCAAAACGGAACATTGTATTGGTGCCAAACACTGTGATACACGTGTACGTGAGCGGCAGCGCAGCAGCAGCGCTTTTTCCTATGCGCAATAGATAGGGCAGTGCCGAGGCCTGATTTTACCGACGGACAATTTTGGATAGGACGACGGACTGACACGGCTCTATTGATTGGTTATTTCATTCTGATAAAGCATCAAAATACATATAGATTTGAGATGTCTCTCGTCTTAAAACAATAAAATTCTGTTTGATTTGAACAAGGAATGATAGCAACTATGTACATACATATGTATATGAAAAGGTGTATTCATAAAGTGGTATAGTATACAACATAGCATTTAAACATAGTTACTTTTTCGTCAGCTTGCACCTCCACACTGGCGATATTGGGATTTTTTTCCATATATTTTGAGCTTTTAATACCATTTATTCTTGAGCTATTGATTCGCTGAAAATCAGGGATCAGATGAGCCGGTGGTAGCTTTAAGGTATCTATATCAGGAATCCTCCAAACTTTAAGATCATCATTCCAAACAGAGTTTTCTAGAATAACGGTGGGACACCTAGTAGAAAAATTGACTTTTATATATTGATTGTTATTGTATAATGTTTAACTACTATTACCAATTTTTACCATTTCTTCGAAGAATAGGCTGAACTTTATTAAATAGTTGCTGAAAGAATTTTATATTACGTCCGAGATTTCTAATTTCATCTAAATAGTCCTCTCGATCTAGCTGAAACTCGGAGTTTAAATCAGCAACTTCTCTTTCAAGCATTTTAATTTTTTGTCTGCAGATTCTTATATGGTCATTTTTTATGTTAATTTCCTGTGTAATACTGGCATAATGACCTTGCAAAAGGTCTCGATCATCGCTTTCGACTCTACTTAATGCGTTCGCGATGGCACTTAAATGGCGTTGTGCTGCTACTTTTCTTACCCTATGCCGTTCCCTTAGCTGCAAATCATTAGCACGTTCACCTCCGATCAAAGTTCGTTTAATAAAATCGATACGATTTCGTGCTTGTAATTGCAGCTCATCGCTTGATTCGTTAATTGATTTATTTAGCTCAGATAGGTTTTCCTTTTCAGGTTTTGATGCCGGAAAAGTTAATTTGGCAATCTCAACGTCTATTTTTGCACTGTGCAAATCAGAATTTGTATAAGATAATTGTACTATTTTATTATCTTCGTCTTTCTTACGGAATATTTTTTGTTCGGATTCTTCGAGCATTCTTTTTAAATGTAAAATTTCACTTTGATACTGACGAAGCTGAGCATCTTTTGGATCTTCATTAATTTTTGGTTTGTTTGAAATATTTTTTGCCCTGCTAGCGTAACGCAGTGTGGATAAAGTCTCGTCGTAGTTTGAGTCTGCTGGTGAAATACATGATATCATGAGAGTTTTTGTATTGCCTCCTAAAGAGTCCTATATATGTATATATTTATATATATTATGTAATAAAAAAATTACATTCCAGATTTTTATTTTTTTTTGTATTTACCTGTAGCAGACGTGTAAGTTTTGAATCCCTATATGGTACATGCTTTGATTTGCTATCGACCAATGATGAAATTACGTTTCCCAAAGCAGAAAGCGATAAATTAATCTTTGTAGCTTCTTTAAAGCGCTCACCCTGAGCTCCAGTTTTACGCTGTCTTTCAGAGCCTGCTAAATCGACCAAGCTTAATTTTCCTCTCCGAATTCCTCCCATAATATCGCCCGATGCAATACTCGATACTGCTGGGGAAGAAGGTCCTTGAAATTGCTCCAAACTTATTGTAAATATTGTGTGTGAGCGGGAGCTTTGTTCATTCATTAGAGTAGTAGCTGTAACACGGTTTTTGTTGCCTAATTTTAGCCAATAATAGCATTGTTTTGCATTGATAACAGGTTGTGTGGTTAACGTTGGCACTGTCACTCCCACGCCTGGCATTTCTTTGAGCGGATGATTTATAATACCCGTAGAATCAGACAACAGATCTCGAATATTTTCATTGTAAATTTCCAAATAACTTACTAAAGCCAAATATCGAATATTAGTGGCCATAGATATTGTTTCGAAAATATGTTCAAAGCATCTGGGTATTATTCCGCAATTATAACCGTCTTTAACGTTATCATCGCCCTTTTAAAGAGTTAAACTATTGTTACTCCACCAAAACAAAAACAAAATTCCGTTACCTGCATCGTATGTGTTTTACCACAGCCAGTCTGGCCATAAGCAAATATAGTGCCATTGTATCCATCTAATGTGCTCTCCACTAAAGAATAGCACATTTCGTTATAAATAACTTCAGTTTTTGAGATCATGTCGTACACACTATCGAATGTGAACATTTTTTTTTGACTATTACGTGCCGTCGGATTAATCACAGATATTGCGTATTCATTAATTTCAACAATGTTCTGTAGAAAACAAAGTTGTATATATTTTAAAGAATGATAATATATTTTTATAAATTTTTGTTTTAAATTTACTCGTTATCCTTTTTGCCTAAACACACTCAGTTCTTTTTTTTATCTGATACTCAGAAAGTATGGGTATTTAATATGTAAAAAAGGTATGTTATGTAGGACTTCCTTCGTAGCAGGACAACCGGATGTTGTAACAGAAAAATATGGATTGTCTATTAGAAGATATTCCGTGAGATCGAGGTCCTTATATTAATGGGTCCAATATACATATATATATATACATATACATATATACATATACATATATATACATATATATATATACATTTGGCGGACAAGAAATTTCCATGTTAGAATTAGCATAATTTTTATTCGATGCAAAAAAATGGTGATAGGTACTCAAGCCACGTTTTTAACATCGTAAAAGGTTTTGAGCCCGAAACAAAACAGCAATTGGCGGCAAGGAACCAACGAACAATTGGTTATTTCGCAACTTTTTCGATAAAAAAAATTATGAATATTTTTGACGACGATGTAGCTTTGTTTTAGAGAAAATAAGTTAAAAGTTTATACTTCACTATTAGGCTATGGAAAAAGGCATTCTTCGCTTGTTAAATACAAGTTTTTGTTAATCCATTTATGGTATGAGTTGACCGATGAGTCAGTCAGTGAGAAACAAAATTTTCAATGCGTATATTGATTTTCAACTATCTAAGGTTGATATCATTTGTTTTGCTTTATTGTTTTTATTTGAACAGCTTTTTTCTTTTTGTCTATTGAGTATTTTAAAATATTTTAAGTTTACTTAAATTTAGGAGTTCGGTACATTGAAACATAGGTTACAAAACGTTAGCTATGTAAGAAAGTATTTTCAATCAATAAATCCATAAAAATTTTACGTATGAATTTACTAAAAACAGTAGCTAAAATTATAGTTACTGAACTGAACTTACTTCACATTTACTTTCATTTTCTTTTCGGTTCATAGGGCGACACCGCACTACAACTTTTACATTTTCACTCATTTTCGCTCGGTAGTCAAACATCAAATAACGACGCGTCCAATCACCCAGAATATAACTATTATGTGCAACACATACACACGTAGGTTGCTAGGGCGAGTCCCAAAACCCAACTAGGGCGGCTGAAAATAGTTTTATTGTTTTTAACAATTTTCCCCAGGAATATACAATTTAGGACGAAGGGCGCTACGACTGAATTCGCGATGCCAGTTAATTTACATTGCCATTGCATGGTGCTTCATCAATAAAAGTTAAGCTCAGCTCATGGTTTAAAATTTCACCTCAAATATGGTAGAAAATCATGAAGCGGAAATTTTAATGTCTTAGTTTAAATTTTTGACTGAGATGAAATTTTCATTTATCGGTAATAGATATAAAACGTGGCCGAACAAGAAAATGTTATATGGAGGTTTATCCGAAAAATAAACTTCTTGCAAATGACCATTGGGTCCTAATCAGGCTAGAACTTACCTAGGACAGAAACTTAAATAGCAGCCCTCGTACAATAAATAGAAACTAACAAGGTAATCACAACTTCGTTGTTGCTGCAGTCTGATGAAAGGACATACATATGTACAATTTTGAAGCCAACATTTTTCAAAACACCGCTTTAGCTTCGTCAGAAAAGTAAGATGGTGAGAAAATTTCAGCTATGCTTTTTTAATTGCCATAAAGTCAGGGCAAAGAGTTTTATAATACCTCCCCGCTGCAGTCATCCATTCAATCATTCAATATATCTCTCTATTATGTAAAAAATTAAAAGGGTTGTTTTTCGGTCACCACCCGATACACCCGAAACGGGATACACCATATTTTGTTACCTTGGTTTTAATAGAAATTTACATGTTTTTATTTTTTTAATTTTTTAAAGGTTGCTACCAAATTTTCCAAAAAATTTAATCAAGAAAATGCAAATTTTTTGTTGAATGAGTTGGATAATTAGGGAAATCTATTGCATATATATTGATACCATTCATATCGTTATTGGCAGTTATTGGCAGTAAAAAACCTGCACAAGTTTTTTCGAACTATTTATCTAAATATATGTATATATAGCGGTACGATTTTGGAAAATTGGTATGAGCTTTGTACATATATCTTCATTGTTTTACATTAATAAATTGACGAAGTAACTTTTCTGTTGTTTCAGTATACATATCTCCTAATTATAGAATTATATTGAATATAGAATAAAACGAGAAGGAACGTGTGAGTCGCTTCTGGGCACGCGACTCTACTTATACCCGTACTCAGTCAGTATATAAATTTTTAAGCTTATGATTTTTTAGAATTTTAAAATTAAAAAAAAAATTTTACATTTTACATTTTTTTGCTACATCTCTTATCTACATCTACAATGTATATTTTACATCTAACATGTAGATTCTAGATTTACCATTCATATTCCACATCTCCTTCGCTAGGGTTGCTCGCGCACTGAACGCGGCAGAGTGTGCGAGCGAGAAAAATAATCAGTAGCGTGTTTCATGAAGGGGGAGACGGGGGAAGCAACTGAAAATGAATTTCTTCATTCTGGCTATAATTATGATCCGATCTGATTCAGATTCGGCAGTCTGGTAGATATGGGCATTCTCTACGATACTGATTTTTATCGTATCTTTAAAATTGTGCCTGCCACAGATTTTCGACTTTTATGGAAGCGGAAGGGGGCGGGGCGAAATTTTGAAATATACTTGTAGCAGTGTGATATCACATGAGTCTGGCCTAGCTCTTATAGTCTCTGAGATCTAGGCGCTCAACAAGACGGACAGACAGACAGACAGACGGACAGACAGACATGGCTATATCGACTCGGATATTGATGCTGATCAAGAATATATATAGTTTATGGGGTCGGAAACGTTTCCTTCTCTGCGTTACACATCCACTTTTACCACAAATCTAATATACCCCTTAACTCTTTTTTGAGTAAAAATGGATATCTTATTTATGTCTTAGTTTAAATTTTTGACTGAGATGAAAAATATTTGCCATAAAAAGGAGGGTATGTGAGTTTAAAAGAAAAAAAAAATAAATTATATTAAAACGTGGCAGCGTTGCTGTTGCTCGGCTTGCGGCATGTAATAAGCTGAACACGACGACATCAGAGCCGAATCAAGTCCCAGACCTGGGAGCTAATCGTTCAGTAGTAATTAAAACAAACGCAATTTACAATTGAGTAGAATGATCTTTAACTTCACTTGTAAATGGGATAGCGATAGGAATAAATGATTTAATAATAGTCATATAACAGGGGAAGTGTCCTCATAGCTCAGTTATTTCTTTATTCTCTATTTCTGGCTTTACCGGTATGCATGACTCTGGTAACAACCACCTTAATAGCTCCACGCACATGGGAATCCCTGCATGGGTGGGCCACCAGCAGACGTTTTAAATTTGACGCACGCGCCTCAGACATCAGTCGGAAGCCACACTAATTGCGATGGGGGTGAAAAACAACGAGCTTGTGACCAAAAATTGACTTATGTATGTATTTTTCCTGATAAATTTAACGTGTTGTATTTACGTGAAATCAATAATATATTTTAATGGTAAAGAAACAATACCAAAACAGAATTAATAAATTAGAATGATGGTAATATGAAAAGCAAAATCATATTTTTTTAAAATTACATTCTGCTCTACTTCCATTTCCATGTGGTTCAGATTCATGTTATGCCTGCATTGTAATGCAAATAATTACAAATAATGTTTTATTGCTTTTGTAAGGTACTACTACGATACAAACGGGAAATATTTATCAACGAAACGAGAATCGACGTCAGTACCTTTACCAGAGTATGTTTTGTATATATATTATTATCAATGGTTTTTATTGCCAATGCTCTACCACCAGTTATTCGAGTAGGTAAGTTATACCTCACATTTATGACACTGTCGTGAAACCATCAAATATTATTCATGTTATTTACATTGCCAGGTGCAATATTTACGGAAGATGAGCGCGAGAGTAGTATCGAATCTGCATTTAAATACGCAATATACCGCATCAATAGAGAAAAGTCTCTATTACCCAATACGCAACTTATATACGATATTGAATATGTTCCGCGTGACGATTCTTTTCGGACAACAAAAAAGGTTTGCCGACAGTTGGAGGCTGGAGTTCAAGCGATTTTTGGTCCAACAGACCCATTGCTTGCTGGTCATGTACAATCTATATGCGAGGCGTATGACATACCCCACATAGAAGTTCGCATTGACCTTGAAATGAATTCCAAAGAGTTTTCCGTCAATTTATATCCATCCCACAATGTTTTAACATTAGCATATAGGGACTTAATGGTGTACCTAAATTGGACAAAAGTGGCCATTATTTACGAAGAAGATTACGGTAATTAGCATTATATTTTAAGTACTAAAGTTTAACATTAACGTTATTTGTATTTAGGTCTTTTTAATTTGATGCACTCCTCGAATGAGATGAAAACCGAAATGTATATAAGGCAAGCTAGTCCGGAGTCCTACCGAGGAGTATTACGCGCGATTCGCCAAAAGGAAATCTACAAAATAATAGTTGACACTAGTCCATCGAACATAAAAAAATTTTTCAGATGCGTACGAAAAATATTTGTTATTTGATTTTGACATACATATATGTATATATCGCACATTATAGGCACTTACAAAGGGTACTAAATATTTTTTTAATTTGTAAAGTATTAGATGGCGATACAGTCGTCTGTTTTTTTAATACTTTTATTAATATATGTGCATATACATATATGTCAATATGTCTCTTATATTTGCTAATACTTAAATACTTATAAATAACATTTCAGATACTACAGTTGCAAATGAATGACCACCGATATCACTATATGTTTACAACGTTTGTAAGTTTTTATTTATATGATTATATTCTCTTATTAACATAAAAATATCAAATGACCAAAAAACAAAAATTATAGGATTTGGAAACGTATGATTTAGAAGACTTTAGATACAACAGCGTAAATATTACGTCGTTTCGTTTAGTTGATGTCGGTAGCAAACGATATTTGGAAGTTATTGATCAAATGCAAAAACTAAAACACAATGGATTGGACATAATCAATGGAGTCCCATATATACAGGTTAAATATGAAGGCTCGTTTAAATTCGTGTACAAAAGTAAGATTTGATTACTTTCAGACTGAGTCTGCGCTGATGTTCGATTCGGTGTATGCATTTGCAACTGGATTACACTTTCTTTATTTGGATGATGGTAGCCCAAAAATATCAGTTAAAAACTTGTCTTGCACCTCTGACGAAACCTGGGATGATGGTCTTTCATTGTATAACTATATAAATTCAGTAAGCCCAATAATTATTTCATAATAGGATTCTTGAAAAGGAGGGTGTCGTTATTATTCTAAATGTCGCAAACAGTTCTGAAAAGCATCATCACATCCAACAAAAATCAAGGCGATATGAGGAACACGATTAAATGAAAAAATTGCATATTTCTAAGTCTTGTTTTTGGATTTAGTCTTTTTTTTTTTTTTACTAATATGCGGATCATTTTTTGGATCGTACTGTACTGACTGTGTACGGGTATAAGTAGAGTCGCGTCCCCAGAAGCGACTCACACGTTCCTTCTCGTTTTAAAGTTAGTTTGCTAATTTTTTTCAGGCTGCAATAGATGGGCTGACTGGTAATGTCAATTTTGTGGAAGGTCGTCGAAACAAATTCAAAATTGACATTTTAAAACTGAAGCATGAAAAAATTCAAAAGGTTGGCTTTTGGGAACCAGATATGGGAGTAAATATATCCGATCCAACAGCATTTTATGACTCTAATATCGCAAATATAACTCTAGTAGTGATGACAAGAGAGGTTTGTTTTGACAATTACGTGTACAAATATATACGTAAATATGTTCATTACTATACGTTCATATATTTTAGGAGCGACCATATGTTATGGTAAAGGAGGATACAAATCTTACAGGAAATGTAAAGTTTGAAGGCTTTTGTATTGATCTTCTTAAAGCGATTGCTCAACAAGTTGGATTTCAATATAAAATCGAGTTAGTTCCCGATAATATGTATGGGGTTTACATACCGGAGACCAATTCATGGAATGGAATTGTTCAGGAGCTAATGGAAAGGGCAAGTATAAGGACAATACTAAAATTGTTTTCTTAAATCAAAATAGTTTTTAAATTTTCAGCGTGCTGATCTAGCTGTGGCGTCAATGACAATTAATTATGCGCGGGAAAGTGTTATTGACTTTACAAAACCTTTTATGAACTTGGGCATAGGAATTCTATTTAAGGTAAATTTTTTTATCATTGCGCCAGTGTATATTAACATATAGTATGTAGATGTAGTCAATAATTCACGTCTAGTTCTTACCATTGCCGTATACTCACTTCATATATATGTATGGCAAAATTTAATAGGTGCCGACAAGTCAACCTACAAGGCTGTTTTCATTTATGAACCCATTGGCAATCGAGATATGGCTTTATGTGCTAGCTGCTTATATATTAGTATCCTTCGCACTATTTGTGATGGCTCGATTTTCGCCATATGAGTGGAAAAACCCCCATCCCTGTTACAAGGAAACGGATATTGTGGAAAATCAGTTTTCCATATCAAACAGTTTTTGGTTTATAACAGGAACATTTTTACGACAAGGATCAGGACTGAACCCAAAGGTATTAATAAAAAAAAAGTTACATTACTTAATCACATATAAAACATAAAATTATAAATATGCATAAAATTTGTGTGCTTATTTCCCCATGGATTCGTATCTAACCTAGTACAATTAATAAACAAATTGTTATATTTCAGATTTCAGATCGAGCTCAAACGAAGTTTTTCTCGTTTATGAATCCACTTGCTATTGAAATATGGTTCTATATAGCATTTGGATATATTTTTGTGTCAATCTGCATTTGGATAGTCGCCCATTTATCGGTAAATTGTCGCCCATTTATCGGTAAATTGTCGCGTCGACCATTTTATGTCAAAAATTGGAATTTCGTAAAAATTTTAAATAAAAGTGCAAAAAATTGGAAATTCAATATAAATTTTAAATTTTATATGAAAGTGACAAATATTGAAAACATATATATATTAAATTTTATATAAAAGATGCTAAATTGGAAATTTCATATGAATTTTAAATTTTATATATAAGTGCCAAAAAAATAAGATAAAACATAACGGCAATATTTGCTACATTTCTTTAAGATATCAGTTATTTAATAATAGTTTAAATAGAATATTGATGAATTAAAGATAAAAATGAAGATATATACATTCTACAAGACAGGGTAGGGATATTACAAATTTCCGCGAACTGCTTTGTATTTTTTATCAGGAGAAGTCCAGCAACACGGGGCCATAAAATACTTTTGGTTCTAATCCTGCTCTTTTCAACGGGTTTTTGCCGAGCAGAATATGCCATGATTTCTCCCAGTTGATGTACATTTATATTGAATGGAATCCTCCAGGGCCTTGAAAACTATTTTGGTACCATTTTTTGTATGGCATCGACCCTATTTTTGTCTGTTCGGATTTCGGCAAATACATACATTATAATTTTCTTGGGAATGACGTCAAGGATTACAGAGTATTTGTTTGATGCCGTTTTTATGACAGAGATTCAAAATTTTATGGTCCGATTTTTTCACTCTTCTTATGACCTTTTGATCTTAGATTGATATAGATTGGTATCTGTTCAAACATTATGTACTTATGTTTCAAACTTACCACTCTAATATAAAGATATTGGAAATTTTTTACGTCCGTCTGCAGCGCTGCAATAACGAGCACCTACCAAAATTAAAAAAACTTGAAGAAAAACATAAAACTGTTTTAGCCGAAGGATAGGCAAGTAATGTAGATCTGGTAGATTATAGATCTTATTTATGTAATCAAGACTATTAAAACTATTGAATTTTTGATTATCTTCCACTCAATTTAATTTCATTAATATCTATTAAAAAAATGCAATTATTAAATAAATGTAGCAAATATGCAGTTACCATGTAGTCCGAACGTATTTTATTGCTACATTTTCATTTTCATTTTCAGCCAATCGAATGGGTAAATTGTAAGCCGGCCTGCTCTATGGCCTGTGACCATGTTTTAAATAAAATTCGAAAAGCAAATCAAACAGATGAACAATTGGAATTAGCAGACTTGACAGGCATGTCAGAAAATGAGCAAGATAACAATTGCATTGAAAATGAAACCGAAATTAAGACAAAAACACAAAGCGTCCTTCCCTTCGCACTATCGAATGATGTCGATGACGATGCTTCGGATGATAATACAGTGGAGTTAGTTAGCATTCAGAACAACTTTACATTAAAAAATAGTTTTTGGTTTGCAATCGGCGCTCTTATGCAGCAAGGTTCCGATTTATATCCTAGGGTATGATCCATGATTTATTTAAAACTAAATGTGCATATGAGGCACCATGCATAATGGTTTACTCTTTTTATTTTATAAAAGTTAACTTTTTAAATCGACGTTATAAATTCCCAGAGCCTAAAATGTTCTATTTTTTTATTTATCGGCTTGACTACTTTGAATAATGCTGTGAATCTGATGACTTAATACGTGCATGTTCCCCCATATACACATATGTATATATGTACGTACATTGTACATAGTACGAAACAAATACTCATAAAACACATACAATTTCTACAAAATCAAACAGTGTGGTCGTATATTGCGAATTGGATTAAAAAAGTGGCGATTTTTTACAAAGCCAAATAATTTATCAGGCGCCTTCGTATGTTGTACGTCGTGAACTTTATAATTCCTCAATAATAGTATAATATAATATAATATAATATAGTATAAAACACTAACGCTGTGTTTTTTAAACAGACCAGTATTAATTTATAAACACGCCACTATTTCAATCCAGGGCTATAACTAAAACGTAGTTTGCGTAAAAATAGGACAAGAATGTTTTTCAAAAGAGTAATTCAAACTATCAATTTCAATAAATCCAAAGTTAACGAGAAGGGACGTATATATCCGTACTCAGTCAGTATATACATACATATATATGTGGGGCTATATGGAATTTAAAAATTTTTTTATCTGTTGACATTTTTTACTGCATCTGTTATCTAAATCTACATCTACCATGTAGATTCTGCATCTCCTCCGATTGAGGACGCACGCAAACTGAACGATCAACTGAAAATTAATTTTTTCATTCTGGCTATAATAATTAATGATCTGATCTCAACCAGATTCGGCAATCTAATAGATATGGTCAAATATGGTTGCTCTAGCTTTTATAGTTGATGAGAATTCGGCGACAAACCAGAGGGACGGTCTATATTGACTCGGCTATTGATGCTGATTAAGAATATATATACTTTATGGGGTCGGAAACGTTTCCTTCTCTGCGTTATGTTTCATAGAACTACAGATCATCAGAACATCAGATTATGGGTCTATCAGAGGGTCTAGGGCGTGACAAAATAATATCCGTTTAAATAAGTATTATAATGTATTATATTATATTATAATGGTATTATAAAAAACTTTTTTTTACGCAGACATTGTTAGATACATTACAAAAGATTTTTGTATTATTTAAAAATAACTAATTGGTATTAATCAAAGAGTAAACGATAGTGGGGAAATTGGAATGCACAATAATATGCGTTTGTTTTTAGATATACATTTATAATAACTTTTTTCCTTAGGCAACATCTACAAGAATCGTCGGCGGATGCTGGTTCTTTTTTTGCTTAATTATAATATCCTCATATACGGCCAACTTGGCTGCATTTTTGACAGTCGAGCGAATGATTTCACCTATAGAAAGTGCTTCAGATTTGGCAGACCAAACGGAAATTTCATATGGTACTTTAGAAGGTGGATCAACAATGACATTTTTCAGGGTAAATATTTTAAATCTTTATTTTTAATACTAAAAAATATAAATAGTAAAAAGTAGTATAAAGTAAACTTAAAAGTATAAGAAAACAAAAAATAAAACCGGTTTCATTATAGTTTTTGTTAGCCATTGCTGAAAATTTGTTTTCAGAATAAATTAAAGGGTAAAATAATTATTTCTGATTTTGCGCAGTGATTTTCCAGTATCTTCGAAATTTAACAATATCGCCAGATTGTAGTAGCTGCAGCCGGCGCTTTAAGTTTAATGATAAAGTCTATAAAGCTGGGTACCATTACGTCTATAGGGTTGGTCGTCATAAAAAGAACTCTAAGCAGTTAGGCTGAGCGACTGAAATGGTAACCTGCTATCTTTACTTAAGTGGCTGACGACTCAGCGATAGCCCTTGATGAATTTGATGGAAAATAAGGAAAATATTGTGTGGACGTATATCATGGAACGAATGGAAAAATTTTCTATTATAAAATGGTACACATAATGTGTTTAATAGTTTGGCAGATTAGAATCAAAAATAATTGCATAGAAAAATCACACTGGCTGATAAACTTTATAAGGTCGGTCGCATCTTTGATTGCTTAACAAAGTTATACTCAATTTTATAATTCCCTATTACACCTTTTCCACTTACCATTAAGTTCTTGGATGCAAATCTATTATGGTTGTAATAAGTATTTCAAGTGTTTTTTTTAGGACTCTAAAATTGGAATTTATCAAAAAATGTGGCGTTATATGGAGAATCGAAAGGCGGCTGTGTTTGTTAAAACGTACGAAGATGGAATTAAACGTGTAATGGAAGGAAACTATGCATTTTTAATGGAATCCACAATGCTGGACTATGCTGTTCAGCGTGACTGCAACCTGACGCAAATAGGAGGCCTTCTTGATTCAAAGGGCTACGGCATTGCGACTCCTAAGGGCTCTCCTTGGAGAGATAAAATTTCACTTGCCATTTTAGAATTACAAGAGAAAGGCATTATTCAGATATTATATGACAAATGGTGGAAAAATACTGGGGACGTTTGCAATAGAGATGACAAAAGCAAAGAATCGAAGGCTAATGCACTGGGAGTAGAAAATATTGGTATGTTACTTTAATATTGACGCCCAAAAACTATGGTGGAACGACATTTTTCCTTCAGGTGGCGTGTTTGTAGTTCTCCTTTGTGGACTTGCACTTGCAGTAGTTGTGGCCATTTTCGAGTTCTGTTGGAACTCGAAAAAAAATGTACACATGGAAAATCAATCGCTTTGTTCAGAAATGGCCGAGGAGCTTCGTTTCGCTATGCACTGCCATGGATCCAAGTCAAAGCACAGACCGCGAAAACGTAATTGTCTGAAATGCTCTCCCCGACCCACATACGTGCCGTGTAATATAAGTACACAAAATGTGGGAGTTCACTATAATTATTTTAGCTAAATAATGAACTATTACAATGGAAAATGGTAACACGTATATTATATGATACATATGTTTGTACATGTGAATAAAAAGAGAACATATTTTTGTAATACCTTTAAAATTATAATTGGTAATAAATATATAAACGACTCTATATAATAATAAAAATAAAGCATTGTGGTCGCTTTTTACATTTATTTCAAAAATTTGATTATGAAGTTTTTTAGTCGTCACTTCCATTTTTGATGTTAACGTTTCTTTGTCAACATCACAAGCCCATAGAGAATCTAATAGTCTACAGAGATATTTTAGTTTTGTGGTGAAGTCGATGTGGAACGCCCAGATGGAAGCGAGTCCGGCCCCATAAAGTATACAAATATATATTATTAATCACCATCAATAGCCGAGTCGATATAGCCATGTCTGTATTTGGTATCAAAGTATTAAAGATTAAAGATTGATACAAAAAAACGGAAAACTCAGTATCGGAGATCATTTTTACCAGAAATATAGAAATACAGAATGAAGAAACTAATTTTCATAATTGATTAAACCCCAACCCTTTCAGCGCTGCAACTGCTACTCATTCTCTTTCTCGCTCGCACACTCTGCCTCGTTCAGTGTGCGTACGTCCCCCAAGCGGAGGAGATGTAGAATCTACACTGTAAACGTAGATGACAGATGTAACTCACATATATACTGACTAAGTTCGGGCATAAAAGTAGAAAAAATACAGAAACAAGAATCAAAAATAACATAGTTTACTCTTCGGCATGAAAGATGCATTAATTGCGTCAAAATTGAGTAAATTACACCTAACTTAATAAATGGTCTTTAAGTGCTCATATCTCCTAAGAAAAAAAAATAAAACTGATTTTCTTATAGTTTCCATGTTTGAAAGCATTTTGTCAGATGATTTGTCATTCAAATTATCCAAAGCCCTTCCTCAAAAAATGTCTTTTGCCACCGCTTTTCGTCTTAGGCCCCACTGTGCGACAGGACAGGCAAGCGACTTGGGCAGGCCTGGTCCCATGACAGTATTAATTTTGCCATAGTCCCATGTCGTTGATTCGTAGAATAGTTTTTTTGGATAGTTCCTGCAAAAAAATAGAACCTTTTATTTTATGAACTCTAAAATTCCTGAAACACAATGAGTTCTGTTTTTTCTTCTTTGAACGTTGATATTCAATGCCCGATCGCAGGCAGAAACGCCATCATCCCGCCATCCCATGCAGGAAAATTAGAGCTTAATACAACTAAAAGAGCTAAAACCTTAAATTTGTACTAAAGGTTTTTTAAAGAGAATTAGTTTAAAAGAAATTTTCTGAGCATTCATCGTACGTATTTTTTATTTTCAGATTCTTTACTATTCCATATACATTATTATATTTTACAAATAACTTCTTAATACATTCTTAAATTAAACATTTATTAATTCGGTTAATTTTGATTTTGAAAACAGCAACCATGCGTAGACAATTAAACTTTTTTGAAGGGCAATACGTATTTTATTGCTGACATTCAAAAATATATTTATTTTGATTTATAAATGTATACTATGACTTCTATATGTATAGTATATATTAAAATTATGTCATTATTGTCACGGAACTCACAATTTAATTTATTGTCAATTTCAATACAAGCATGTATGTATAAGACATGCTTAGGTATATTTTTTATGAGTACAAGTGGTTATGTACAAGCATTTATTTACCATAACAAAAATGAATTGGGTAACGTACTCCAAATAACGTATATGTATATATTAATATTTAGTTTGAAATTTTTGCATTTTTTTACTCTTTACAAGTTTTAGTACAAAATATATGTACATACATATGTACGTAGTATATGTGCCTTAATATCGATTTGAATAATATCCATATTCCAATTGCGGGAATATTTTTTGTAAAGTCCGATATGTTAAATAAGTGTACACATGTGTCATTTGTCATATGTATGTACATATGAATGTTTTCCAAAAAACAAGTAATATAGAATCATAATAAGAATAATTGGATCTGATAGGTATTATTTTTTCGCATAATCATGCTTCTTTTCCTGTCAAGACTTTTAAATGGTACGTTATAGTGCTGATTGTAGTGTTTTTTTTAAGTCAACGCATTTTCTTACATGAATATGTAAATATTGTTAATACATACATACATACATAGTTAAGTACATACGTACGTATAATTTTCAAAAAAGGTTATCTAGTTTTCTTTATTATATATCGTGATATGTTTTCCACAACTAATTAGTAAACTTTTTTTTGTATAATCCTCATGTATGTAGGTACTTTGGTGTGAGTTACTAATGTTCTATTTTATTTTGGCTCTATACATGTTTATGATTGTAAGCAACTGGATGATATGATAAGCCCTGGACTCTGACTTTATACACTCATAACTATGCTATTTGAGTTTTGATTGTTTTTGTTGGAAGTATTTGGTTAATTCCAAACGTTGTCATATTATTGTATACAAGATAGTAAGTATGTACATTTATTCGTTAATATGCACGCACATCAATCATATACATATGTATGTGCATACAAATGTACATATGAATGTATGAACATAAGAAAACAACAAAAATATAAATTCGCTCAATTTTTAAAAATCAATAATTTTGCCATATACTTTTAAACTTTTCTGAAATTGACTATAGTTTGAAATGCAAACTTTTCATGATAAATATTTAGGTATGCATACTTATGCATATCAGATGGTTTTTTTTGTTGATGTAAAGAAATAAGAGTGTGATTAAATTTAACATCAATTTGTTGGTATATCTAGAATTGTGAATTAATGATATTTATGTAATTATAACAAGCTACAATTACAAAATTTTTGTATATGTTTAAGCATAATAATAGGTATTTTTTTTTTTTTTCTTTCTAGTTTTTCGAAACACAAGGAACTTTAATTAAATATAATCAAATAATATATATGTTAATAATGTGCAGAATCCATACATGTAAGTAAAGCAAAGTTAGTTAATTAAGTTACGTTCGAAAGAAAACTGTTGAAGCTATTTTCAGTGGAACTAATAGCTGACGTATTCGGAGAATTCGTTATCAAGTTGTTCAGGTTTTGGTATTTGTTGCGTTAGGAAATTTAACTGACTGTCATTCACTAAGTCAGCTAAATAGTTGACATAACTAGGCTTGGAGTGAAGTCCGAGTATGTCCAATTGGTTAAAATGGTTTCCATTAGAGTCTATTTGATCTTTTCGTAGTTCTGTAGGTGACCCCTTCAAGGGCCATGACATCAATCCTCTTATAAAACGTTGGAAGTGCTCGTTGGGTGTTTGCTTAAAAATAAAGTTAGCTAAGTTTAATATCATACGACCAAAAGAACAGTTCTGTAATTTTAGATCTTATTTTTACTTTTTCCGATGTAATCAGGCAGTCTCCGGTTTTAGCATTCACTTTTCGTTTTAATTTTCAGCTAAAGGTCATTTATTTACTCCCTGTACTGTTCAGTGCAAAATTTATTGATGTTATCCCCAGTTATGTTGTTATGTTTAAAGAGAATTATCGATAACAAAATTGGGCAGCGACAGCTGCGAGAGAGCGGCGAGAGTTTTGTTACGAGTGTGGTAGCGGCGTTTTGGAAAGTAAAAAACACCAATTTCTTTTTTGTGAAGTGAAAACCGGGGACTTTCTGAATGTAGAAAACGGTTCCTACATTCCCCACCATAAAGAAGAACCAGAAAAACTTTATTTAAATTAAAACCTATTTGGGTGTGGATTGGGTAATTTAAGTGGGATTATCGACTCACCTCTTTTAGCAAGGACCGATTTCGTTCTCTGAAGTGGGATGGTCGAATAGGGTAAGTCCTTGGAATTCCAATAACAGAATGATCACTGTCACTTGCAAATAACTCTGTAGCAGGTATTTGAATGCGGGATCCGCGGCCTGATTGAGCTGAAGCATAATTTCCAGAGAACATACTTTCAGCTTCCTTGTGCGCTTGTCTAGCGTTACCATTGTAAAGAGCGAAGTTAGAATTACCAACACGACGTGTGGTTGCTCGGACTCGATTCCCATGTTCATTTTTATTATTTTTGTTGTTCTCAAGGTTTTGCCCGCTTAAAATTGACATGCGATTATGGTCGCTATATTGATAGCTGCCACCTTCAGGACTTCGATTTTCATCCATTAGAATAGAATCAGAGGGACTAATGGGTTGGGGCGTGTAAGACGACTGAATGCTGTTAGAGCAAATAATTTCATTAAAAATATTACATAAGCTGCAAAAGTTCGATTCACTACTTAGACTTAGGTTCTTACATTTGACCGTTAGCAATTTCTTTAAGCGCTGCTGCTCGTGCAGCTAACTCCTCATCTCGTCGTTGCTGCGTTAATTCCTTAGCACGTTCCGTCCATATGAGCTCTTTAAGTTTCTGAAAGCTGCCCTGTACAGCAACCGAGTTTTGGTTTCCATTCAAACTAGCACCCGTACCGTTGGGAACTCCCATGTATCGATTTTTACTTGACCTACGTGTGCCTGCATTTTGCTGACGTCCTTCAGCCCCATATATCCGAGCTTGGATTGGGCCGCCACTGCCACTTGATCCAAAATCCACAAATCGCTGCCTCTGCTCAAACGTCATACGTTGCGGCGTAATTGGTTCTCGGCTCACAACACGACCAAATACAGGGGATCGTGCTCTTTCTCTTGCGCTCATCCGAATTCTAATTTTTGACAAAAACAAGAAAAATAAGTTTAATATTGTATATTTAAGTTCCTACGTCTTTGGTTAAAGAGACTGAAGAAAACTTTACTGAAAAGTGAAAAATGTAATTTTGTAAATATATATACATATATATGTAATTTAACTAAATAAAAACCGCGTACCAATTGAAAATCTTTTATTTGGTCAAATATCATTTTTTGATTGATTAAAAATTAAGATAAATACTTACGATCCCAAAACTCGTGAAGTTGAATAAAGGGGATCCCAAACATTATATGTAAAGGGGTCACGATATGTCGGTATTTCATTTGTTATCTCAGCAGCTCGAGATTGCCTTTTTGAAAATCTGTTGTATGTACGCGCAAGGTAAGTAGTTTCGAGTTTCTGAGGATGAATTTCTGGTAATTACTTACATCCACATTGCCCGAAGCTGTTCGCATGTTGGCTCTTGTGAGTTAAGAGAAAATGTTTTTGGTACAAACACTTCCCCGACCGCCCTCACTCCGCCAGAATTTACTACGTTGGACGAATCTTCACTTTTGACTCCGTTGTTATTATTCGCATTTCTTTGCGAAGGATATTCGCGACCACGTGCACCTAGGTAGTTTCCATTTCCATGTTTTAGGCTTATCAGGATCACCAATATATCTATTTGAATATACTTCATCTGCAAGGAATAAATATAAAGATTTAAGTCCACTTTGTAGTTTTATCGTCAAATGGTCAACTGACACAATTAGTTAACGTTTAGGTTAGACCAACGAAATAGACAGGTACATGCATATATATGGTCCGTAGCTCCTTTCTAACTCGACTGGTGAGTTCGGCAGTTAAAACTGCAGTGCACAGTTCAAGACACAGTTCGCCCTGACCTAGCAATCGCTTAGTCATTGTTTTGTATATTATTATTTATTGTTATTAATTTTTATGAACATAAAACAAATATTGTTTTCAAAACATGTTTTCTCCACGGTGGTCGGCGGCGGTTTCACGGGAGGCGTCGCCATCTGCTGCTGCTGGCCAGGATATGCCTGGGAAAGACCGACCCCAGCCAAAGAAGTGCATTTTATTACCTTTCATTTTCTTAAAACAATTGAAATTATTGATTTGCGCATTAGAATCGGCTGATACCAAAAAGTATGTGCTAGGGATCCGAAGCCTTTAATAACGTGTCTACGTGCACGACAATGCCTAGAAGCGGGAAACACACCCAGCCATCAACTTCTGAATAAGAAACATTATGCGTAGGCATAAATTCCTCTCGTGGTTTCAAAAGTTCCGTCCGGGTTAACTTAACCTAGCCTTTCATTTCAATTAATAATAATAATATTAATAATATTCCGCCCTCTATCCGGGTATCTTAATGACAAGACAGCCTCGAATATATAAAACATAATATAAAATTGTATACGCACCAAGAGCCGGTTACAATGCATCTTAGTAATGGCTTTTTTAGAATCCGGAAGAGATTAAATCAATAGAAAACTGACTTCGTTTTTGCATCGGATTGATATGTATTCAAATATTTTGTTCTATTTATGGAATCGGAGAAAAATGGTAATTAAATTCATGAGAGAAAAAATGTTATTTTTTGTGTTAAAAAAGCATGCACATAGCTTGAAAATTATTAGCTCAGTGTTAGCATTCATTATAAAAAGCAAAATGCCGTTTCCAGTAAACATTTAAATTACACCGACACAGAGTTGACTTTTTAAATTTAAGATATTTGTATATTGTGTCATTTTTCATATGTTAATAATAAAACTAATCATAATAATATAATAAGTAAGCGTCGGTTTCTAGACTGCTGGTTACGATACCGGTTAGTTGTCGTTAGGATCAAGTTAACCACCTGAAAAAGTTGTGGAAGGTTTTCTTGAAGGCCGGCTAACAATAGGAACGAAAAACAGGGTTCTTTTAAGAGCTTAAATGGGCTGTTGAGCAGCAAATGTGTTGTTGAGCGAAAAACACAGTTTTGATTTTTTTTAATGTCGAAAGATAAAATATCTTACTTCCATATGCATTACCAAAGAATATTATTACTCATTTTGAATGATGTTTTGCAAAAAACAAACGAACTTATTCTGCTTGATCAGTGTTGATCAAATAAGGGATGATTTTGACATTTAAAATTCAGTGGTTATTAGTGTTGGATAAACAACGTTTAATTTTCTGAACAAGTTCGTTCGTTTATTTTTATTCAGTCAACTAAGTCGTTCTCTTAGCCAATTCTTTTAGTTCGTTATTTTTTATTCATCAGCTATTTTCGTTCGTTCTTGTTTTTTTGTTGGTTCTTTTCTGTTCATTTTTGGTCTTAGTTTAATTTTGAGCTCTGATTTATATTTGTAAGTCAATGTTTAAATAATGTTATACAATTTATTGACGTTCTAAATTCGTCAAAGTGATTCAAAAAATGAATATATTTACGTTTAAGTGATATTTTAAAATATATTTGTTTGCCTTTAAGCGTTCTTGCCAGAGTCCACCACAACAAAATGTGAAAAACATCGGCTCAAACAAAAAACAACACTTTTACATAAAATGTGTGATTTACTTTCAAAACGAAAATTTAGGCCATCCCGCATTCGTAAAACGCAAGAATTTTCCGTTTTCAAAGCGGCAACATATTTCTCTTAGAAATGAAAGTAAGCGGCTTTTTATACAACAAAATTTGGAAATTGCAAATCTTGTGCCCTTTTTGTAAATAATTTTTTTAAGCCAACGTCAAAATTGGATTGGAAAAAATTTGTCTGGGCAACAACAAATATAAATTCCTCCGAACAACTGTGGCAGCCCGATTTGGCTATCGATAAGTCTGTGGTGCTATTTTTAAAATATGCCATTTTATAGGAGCTGGCACTAATGCGTGGGAAACGTGATGAACAAAATCAAAAACGACAATTAGAACGGAGACAAGCGCGCCGGTACCTAATTGAGACTCACAGAGAAAATGGCAGACAACACCAAAAACCAGGGAACGTAATCATTAAAAGTTATAAATTTTAAAATTTACATGTCAATGATTATATTTGAATTTTGTATGGTTTTCATCAATGATAACACTAGAATTAGGCTGTGGCCCAAAATGACTTTTTCTTATAGATTTCGGGGTTTAAAATGTTTTAACAAATTATGGTTTTTTTTATGGTGTAGTTTGTTTTAAAGAATTTTTAAAATCTGTTTTTTTTTTATGTTTTTTTTCAGAGGTAGTGCTTCTATTTTTCACATAAATTAAGTATCTTATATCTGGTTGCTTTGCAGTTCTGAAAAGCTGACAAATGCAGCTATAAATCGGACCCATATACTTTGTATCTGCAGCTTAACGCCTGGAAGATATTAAGCTTTCAAATTTCATAATTTTTTGCGATAATTTTTTTTTTTTTTTGTAAATTTTGACTTCTAAAACTCGGGAAAAGTCGAAAGAAAAATAATTCTTGTCTTGCATTTTTATTTTTAGATAGACGCATTAATTGAGCGTCGTTTAAGGTATTGTTCATTAAAATCTATGGATAAACGGTCAACTTGCAGCCGTTTGACCAAAACGCCAAGAATTATTTATAGCCGATTTATAGCTGTATTTGTCAGCTTTTCAGAACTGCAAAGTTCTATGCAACCAGATATAAGTATCTTATATAAGTTATGTGAAAAATAGAAGCACTACCTCTGAAAAAAACCATGAAAAAAAAACAGATTTTAAAAATTCTTAAAAAAAAATTACACCATAAAAAAAATAAAGTACTACAATAATTTTTAAATCCCGAAATCGATCAAAATTCATTTCGGTTGCAGAGAACACAGATACCAGAGGCGTCATCGCGACTCACCTGTTCACGTACCAGTCTGGCTGTAGTATAACACGAGTACTACACCCACATAAGCGACTACCAACGGAGGATCGAAACGCACAGCTCCTTCGACACAACCCTCTTACCCGAAGAGCCCAGCCAGCCATTTGACTCCGAAGCCGCCGATCCAACCGAGCCAGTTCATGCACCAGTCTGGAGACAATACCACCCAAGTGTTCCGCCAGAGCTACAAAACTACTCTACCCACGTCTAACGCCTTCCTGATCATCGCCCACATAAGCGATTACCACCGGAGCATCGATCCGTCAAGCACATTTGACAAACCCATCCTTCCGAAAAACCCGAATCAAACCTTTGACCCCGGAGCCACCGAACTCACCGAAGACGACCTAGAACTACCGACGGATCCTTGGCCACCCGACATAGCACCGCAGATTCGAGAATGCCTGGACAAATAGCTACCAAAGAAAACTGCCGAGAAAACCATCGTCATATGGGATAATCGACCCACCAAGCACCAACTATAAAGCACCCAGAACAGCAGAAAGGCCACGATCACAACAGCAGTAGAAAATATAAAGTTACCGACGCCACGCTAAAGTGACGAGATTAACAGCGACGAATCCAAAAGACAGGATAACCCGGAAAAGGGCGAACCTCAGCACCCGCCAAGCAACGCCACAAATCTCTTCATCACCCACCCGGAAGAAAGGGGGGGTGTAACGAACCATGGATCCCATCCCCACCGATCACCTTACCTGGGACATTGGACACTTGTTGGGAGGCGATTGCTTAGGTAACCTTTGATAACACTGGTCAACATGATTTTTCCTCAAGGAACAAAACCAACTTTTTCTTAAAGATTTGGGGCTTAGAAATGGTTTGATGATATATATTTTTTTTCTATGGCAGAACTTTTCTTTGAAGAATTTTTTAAATCTGGTATTTTTTTAAAGCTTTTTTCAGAGGTAGCGCTTGTTTTTTTCATATAACTGTAGTATCTTACGTCTGGTTTGAAAAGATAATTAAAACAGCTAGAAGTTGATGCCAAACACTTTGTGATTTCAGCTTACCGTCTGGGAAATATAAAGCATTGAAATGCAAAAATGATGATTTTTGTGCGGTATTTTTTACGAAATTTTGACTTTAAAAACTCAGGAAAAGTCGAAAAAAAATTATATCTTGTGTCCTCTATTTTTTTGTGTATCGCTCAATAAAATCTGTGGAGAGACTTTGGAGCTAAAATTCGTTAACCAAACCTAAAATATGGAAAAAATGAACAAAAAATACCTTTTGGAAGGTTGCGAGCCCAACTGCCAGTGAAAATTTGACCCCAAACAACACCAAAATGTTTGCGTTGCTGGCTGAAAACTCGAACAATTAACTTAACTGCTGGAGAAGGAACCCCAAAAAAGCCAAGGAAAAAACGAAGTCCCGCAATCTACAAACTGCAGCTCCTGTTGCACCGCAGAACCACTAAATCACAACAGATCTTTACAAGAAATTTCCAGGAATATGGGCACACCAAGATTTACTGTACGCTACGATCAGTTTTCGTAGCTTGTGGAGTCACGACTCAGTCCTTGCACTCCTAACAAAGAAGCCCGCATTTAAAAGACTAAAGACTAAAAAGACTAAAAACTCACACTTTACCGTCAAATACCGTCTTGTTTTCGATTTTTTGTAAATTGAAGTCTACTACACTAGCAGTTGGGCCAAAACTGTACTTAACGATAAAATGTAATTCCCGTATTAGACGTGGAGGCCAAATAAATCAACTAATCAACAGGGTTAAAAGTAACATAAAAAACGAGAAGGAACGTGTGAGTCGCTTCTGGGGACGCGACTCTACTTATACCCGTACTCAGTCAGTATATACATTTTTGAGCATAATTTTTTAGAATTTTAGAATTAAAAAAAAAATTTTACATTTTACATTTTGTTGCTACATTTTTTATCTACATCTCATCTATAATGTCTATTCTACATCTAACATGTAGATTGTACATGTACCATTTAGATTCTACATCTCCTCCGCTAGGGGTTGCTCGCGCACTGAACGCGGCAGAGTGTGCGAGCGAGAAGGAAAATGAGTTGCGATGTCTGGAACGGGAGGGGGAGGGGAAGCAACTGAAAATGAATTTATTCATTCTGGCTATAATTATGATCCGATCTAATTCAGATTCGGCAATCTGGTAGATATGGGCATTCTCTACGATACTGCGTTTTTAGTTTTATCGTATCTTTAAAACTGTGCCTGCCACAGATTTTCGTCTTTTGTGTGGGCGGAAGGGGGCGGGGCGAAATTTTGAAATACACTTGTAGCAGTGTGATATCACATGAGTCTGGAAACCAAATTTGGTTTCTCTAGCTCTTATAGTCTCTGAGATCCAGGCGCTCATCAAGACGGACGGACGGACAGACGGACCGACGGACAGACGGACGGACAGACGGACATGGCTATATAGACTCGGCTATTGATGCTGATCAAGAATATATATACTTTATGGGGTCGGAAACGTTTCCTTCTCTGCGTTGCACACATCCACTTTTACCACAAATCTAATATACCCCTTAACTCTTTTTTGAGTACGGGTATAAAAAAAAAATTTTTTACGAAATTGTGTGTTTTTACATATATTTAGAATTTACATCTGGTTGTATTGAACATTGTAGTTCTCAAGCTGATAAATGCAGATATAAATTGGACCCAAACACTTTTAGCC